ATATATTTTTAATTTAAATTAATTAGTTAGTTAGTTAAAGTTTAACTTAACTTTAGTTAATAATACTACTTAGTTATTATTAATAGTTAGTAGTATATATATATATATATATATATATATATATATACTTTCATGTTTATCTGGTAGTTACTTGTTGCTTCAAGACTGGTCGAAAGTATGGAGCCTATTTACAGAAAGTTATATTTAATATCTGTTTGACAAAACTCTACAATTAAATAGAATGGCCATAATGAGAACCCTATAATTTATTTCTAGATAGGAAGGAGCACATACAATAAATGTATGACTTAATATTGGTTCACAAATTGTTTGTTTTCTTTAACTTTTAAGAGATACAAAAAAATTTATATACATATTTGATGAAGAGTTATCAATAACAAAGCTTATTTATGTCATGTATGGCTTTAATATAATTTTCAATATGGCTATTAACCAAAAGCTAATTGTAAGACAGGTATAAAAACCCAATGTAGATAAACATAATTGTTGGCCATACTTAGAAAAGATCTATAATTCCCAGTTTACTATATAATCTTTTTTTAATATCTAGTTGAGTAGCAAAAGAAGTAATCCTTGAATACATGCTTGAATTTAGATTATAAAAACAGGCACCTCTAGCATGTAAGATTTATGTTTTTGTTATCTTAATATTTTAATCTTTTGTCTCAGTAAAAGAATTACTAAATGTAATACATATTTTAATATCTAATATTTCTCTATAAACCTTTTTCTATTATTATTATTACAGGGATTTAGTGCCAATTATTTCAGCCCTAGTCTACAATGCCTGGTTTAAAAAATTCAGGGCCAGCAATGTCAAATTGGTAGTGTTTCTTTTTTTACTGATATTTGCATAATTTTGAATTGTGAAAATTGATAAACTTTAAAATAATTTGATATATATACAATAATAAGCTAAATTGTGTTTTTAGCCACAGGTTTTATTTTAAGAATTAATAATTGTTTGGAAAGCTAAATAGGCATATAAATATAACTACAAATTAATTTTTAGTTGATGCCTGAATTTTTTTTTTCAGAATATTTTACAGAATGTATTTTACATGAATTTATGTATAGTTAGTGTTCAGTCTGAAAGACATTTCTTTCAAAAAGACTATTGTAACTATTTATAAATATAACACTGTAGTGACTCTTAGAAACAGTTTATTATAGTTAGAAATCACTTCTTTATATTTATACTTTATTTTTGAATACTCTACCATTTATCAGACAACTTATGTTTTAGGCATTAGAAGCTCTAGAGCAGATTTTACAAATTATGAAAAACAATGTGTCCATTGAAGAACTCTACCTAGATAGCACTGGAATCAAATGGTAAGTATGGAAATGTATTAATATATAATCATAAATGTGTGATGAATGCATGAAAGTTTCAGCTAAAAAAAACATATTGTTACGTCTCCGTTTGTTAATTAATTTTCCGTAACTTCGTTCCGACGAAACTTAAGCGACACAAGTCCTTTCTTAATAAAACTGATTTATTCTTTCCGAATATAACTTTACCGACACACTCAACTTCAACAATCGCGTTAAAACAAACGCTAATCAACGAACGTCAACAATACTTCTGACTGCAGTTTAATTACTCACTATCTACCCAGACATTACATTCCCCTCTTTTATATACCAGCCTACCCTATATCTAGTAAGAACTAGAACATTCGCCAAAGTACATGATAGTACTAGAAACG